ATATATATAATTAACAGTTAATTAAATACACCTATATATATGTATATAGGTGTATTTAATTAACTGTTAATTTTAATTAAAATACAATTTATTGCAATATATAAGATTCAATGAAATGCTCTTCTTAATAAAATATGACTCAAAATAAAATAATATTTAGCTTATATACAGTAAGTGTTTAATAAATCGATATTGGAAAATGAAATTATATAATAATTAGCAATAAAACGGAAATCAGCTGTTATGTTTGATTTTTTTCCACTCATCTGTGTATATAGAAATGTCAACATAATTATACATAAAAGTAATTAATATACAAAATATAAAATTATATGTTAGTTATTAAATTATAATTATATGTAAACATTATGTATTAATATGAATCAGAGGTAAATTAAAAAGTTAATTTATCTGTATGAAAATCAGTACGAGCGTTGAATAGTGTTACAATATCTGCCTTACTATTAACATTCTCCATTTCTAAACATTCCCTTACATCGTTATAAAATAAACATTTACATTTATGTTCCAAACTCTTTTTTAAATGTACAATCATTCATAATCTTATATGTAACAGACTCAAAATATACTATATACGTCTACATTAAATCCTGTATACAGTGTATTTTAATTCTGTTTTAACGATTCTATTCACACTTCTCGGATCTTTCAAAAAATTAAAACTTATTTATAGTTTATCCTGTTTTTTTTTCTCGATTGGGCATTAGTTGGGCAGTAATATTAATTGAAATACGTATTTTCTTTAGTTAAAACATTATATACAATACAAACTCTTTATGAAGAATGATAATAACCTTATATATTCACTTTATATATTAATTTTCACAGAGAAAAAAGTAAAACATCAATTCACTCATGTTTGAAAAGCGTTAAAATGTCGGTTTAAAGCAGCGGTCTCCAACATTTTTATCGCCGCGGACCGGTCAAAGTTTGATAATTTTACGGCGGCCCACTGAGGGGGGATGTTGATTGTTTATACTGTATTTTAGATTGATTTAATTTAATAATTTTAATTTAATTGTATTTAAACATGCCTTCAAAATAAAATATAGTTACACCAAAAAATGAATATAATGTGATTTAACATTTTAACTCACTAGAACGTTAAATCAATGAGAACCCTGAGCTTGTTTCATTGCAAGGAGACGGTTCTCTCTGGGGGTAATAGGAGACAGTGACACCCGAAGTGTTTCTTATGTCCAGTTTATTCTGTTGTTCCGTCGTCCATTAAAAGTCGCACAAACCCAAGGAAATACATCATAGTAAATAAAATGGAAATAATTTAATGTTCCTTGTGCGGCCCGGTACCGTTTGATCCACGGACCGGTACCGGTCCGAGGCCCGGGGGTTGGGGACCACTGGTTTAAAGCACTCGCCCTTCTACATCACAAGATTTGTTGTTACGTCAGGCTATGGCCTGGTAGGTATTTGGTCCAGATCCCCGAGAGCCCTTTTTTAAGTAAATTTCTTTGTTTGCAAGGATATATCACTGTGTGGAGGAGGAAACATGGAAATATCTCTAAATAAAAAGATTGGCGGGTTGGATTAGATTGGGTCTCCCTTAACCTCATTTTATCATGTGCCACTGCATGTGGTAAAATGAGGTTAAGGGAGAGGCTGAATGGCTCGGATGTTTTACCAGGGTAGTGCCAGAGTAAGGTAGTGCTATCTCTGCACGGAGTTCGATACATGTCTAGGGGCCCTGGACCTCGAGGACTTGAATTGAAAAAAAATAAACTAATTTTTCTGTTGCAATTGTATACTGTAATTTATAGATGTAAATATTTCTATAACTACAATTAGACGTTATTAGTTTATGATGTCGTAAAATAATGTAGAGGGTCCCAATGCTTAGGGACACCGGAAGATCTTAGTCCACTATCGTTTAGCATAGTTAGCAGTATGGTTGATATGTTCAGTTAAATAATAACAGTAATTTACTGATATTTTTATATTTCTGTATCAATAATTCCATAAATTAATTTTAAAATACTGTATAATAAATTTGATAATAATAAAGTATCAAAAATTTATGAATAAAATATTAAATGAAACATTTATAATTTATTTTTTTATGATGCATTTTCAACACTAAAATATCCCGTATTGTAATTATTATGCGTTACAAAAACTGATTTTTACATTAACGTTAGATGAATAAAATCATATCGATTTTAAAATTTAAATATTAAAAACAGTATAAAAAGTATATTTTAGGAAATGCAATACAACAAATTTATATTTAACTCAATTTATTATAAGTATATCACGTTGCGTTACATATAAATAAAATATTGTTGCATTGCTCGTGTTGAATTATTTTCATAAAATGCAATCTTTATTTTATTTAAATATTTAAGTTTGAGAATCGATATGGCTTTAGTCATTTAAAGTTAATATAAAAATCAATCATCGTAACGCACGGTAATTATAAAGGATTTCAATGAAGTGGAATGCGTAGCTGTCGTTTTAGATTATAATAAAATCTCAATGTCAGAATGCAAAAATTAATTCTGTACTTTCGTAATTTATATTATAGACGAGGCCAATATTTTTTAAAAGAAAAATTATAATTTTATGAAAATTTTTAATAGCAATGTTATATCTGCTGCAGTATAGGCCTATAATAAAACGAAGTTACATCATTACATGATTAATGACCTTCTCTTCTTTCTGTTCTGAGTATAGAACTGATTCGTCAACTTTTCTATCTTTTAAATATTAATTTTGTGCTTATAATTTCTCATATGAAAAAAAAGCATTTATTTAGAAATTGCTTTGAATTATGCAAATTTTACGAATTTAATTTTTTTTTTCAAACTTTCAAAGACATTTTTTTCAACTATAAAAAACTTAAATTAAAATTTATATTATTTTGAGCAAAAATCTTTGTTATAATTATTTATACTTTTTAAATTAATATAAAAATATATTACATAAATAAAAAGCAGCCACTAAATACATGGCAATCAGCATGATTTTATCAAATTGTTAGCTTTTAAAGTGTGTTTAACTTAAAATTATTCGAATGGTTCTATCAAATATAAAATTGATTGATTAATTAATGCGATGGTAAATTATGTACCGTATATGATCGGCAATAAGATCAGACAACATGGATAATAGATGATAAATGACGCCTAGATCTGAATTGTTTATAATGAAATCACAAAGATCCTGCTCGAATTCGAACCTTACACAAGTAATACGATACATTGTTAATTATACAAATATTATATAATACTTTGTTACTATTTGTAATATTAATAACATTTAATTTAAATGTAGTGTATGAAGAAGATTTGATAAAATTTTTGTGTCATGATCTAAGTGGTGATTTCAAGAAAATCATCAAGGCCTTGGCTAATGCCAATAGAGAAGAAGCAGATAAGGTCGATGATGATTTAGCAGAGAAAGAAGCTCAGAAACTTTTTGATGTATGTATATTAATCACTCTTATTGATCTTCTATATATACTGTATTAATCAATATACGAACAGTAGTTACTCATATATTTATGACAACGCAAGGAAGTAATCCATATCCTCAAGTATACGGAAATCGAATAGTGATTTATTAAATTTTATCAAAATTTCAGGCCGGTGTAGGAAAATCTTGGGGCACAGATACCGAAGTGTTTCTTCCCATTCTTTGTTCTCGAAGTTATCCCCAACTTCGTCTCATATTCGAAGCTTACGAAAGAATTTCCGGTCATTGCTTATCGGCTGCTATCGAAAACGAATTTGAAGGAGATGTTCGAAGAGTATTTCTGGCTATAGGTAAGGGAAATTCAGCTTTTCATTCAAATTTATTGGTTAACCATTCGGCTACCAGTGGACACGAAAATATTTAAGTTTTATAAACTTCTTTAATAAAACGTCATATCTTTTATGTGATTCTAATACAAGTACCAGTACCTGGATATGGTAAGTTAAACGACACTAATCGAGTAAAGTTATAATATACACTTATATCGATCAACTGTCTGAGAAGGATTTTTAAAAAGTCATTTAAATTACAAACTTAGAATTAATTTTAAATAATTGTCCTTATTGTTTCTCAGAATGTTAAAATACCGAATTTATTGTATCTGATCCATGAAAATATAAAATGGTCATATATAATTATTTATTTATTAAATAATTATATATGACCATTTTATATTTTCATGGATCAGATAAAATAAATTTGCTCACAAAAGATACAAGAAATTATAGGAAATTGGAAAATCTGAATGAGAATTTATAAAATGATTTCTCAATTTCCTTCCTTCCAGTATTAGTTTCACTTCCAATCAAGTATCTTTGCAGTATATTTCTATAAGTTTACAAATTGTATAGTTATTTGTAAGACCGTAAGAGATTTTATGATTATTTTTACAATTATTAGTTGGATTTAAACGTTTATGACAGTTAATTCAATTCTTTATCATCTCTAGATACGTAAAAAACAGCAACAGAATTGTAATATTATATGCATACATTATTACAGTCGACCCCCTATAACTTGGGTTCATATAATGCGGATTCGTATATCGCGGCGAAAAAATTGCGACCGTATTCGTATAAAGACGCTAAAAGAGACTCGTAAAATGCGGTAAAACGTCATCGCCGACTCGTGTCGCGACAGGATTGGTCGAATCTGGACCAATAGTGGACGAGCAGCCGAACTACTTACACGCTACAGAGAGTTTAGGCGGATAAGTTGAGTTTACTATCATCTGTACAGTATATAGGCCTAAATTACGTACTGTAAGTCTAATACAATAATGTAATTTTATACATTTCTTGTGAAATAAAATTTTCGCTACAGAGAGTTTAGGCGGATAAGTTGAGTTTACTATCATCTGTACAGTATATAGGCCTAAATTACGTACTGTAAGTCTAATACAATAATGTAATTTTATACATTTCTTGTGAAAAAAAAACATTTCTTATTCAACTGCCATAAAAATTATTTCTATTAATGATGTCTCCAAAGTTCAGCGAATTTTTCGCAGAAAAATAACTTATCAGAAAACGCGCCCGCCGTTTGGTGCGCTGCTCCGCGACGAAAACAAGCTTAAGCAATGGCGTCGTCGAATGGTGCACACTCGGTAAGTAATCCTACAGTTTTTTGTTTATAGCATAGTTTATACGGATTATTCCCAAAAAATTATACGTGTTTTGGAAATGTTGAGTGAAATTAGTCTAGAATCGATTAATTTTATGGAAGAAAACCTTTCAAACAGCCGTAGTCCGTAAACTGCACACGTGCCGGGCTGTGATTGGCTCATGTATTTAATGATTCCTACAACGTGAAATTCTTATAAAGTGGAACGTATCTACCGCGTTATAGGGGAGTCGACTGTATATGGATAAATTGATTAGCATGATTTTATAGAGAATATGCCTATGGCTAATATACAATTTTAATCGATTAGTTTTATCATAACTTTACTTTAGCAATTTTCAAACTATCAAATCCGGAAATATAAGCTTGACGTCAATCATTAAAGTTATCCATTATTGAGAATATGAATATTGTATAATTTATTCTATAGTTTTCATCATAGAATATAATATATTAAAATCATTGCATATATGAAAAGATTTCAATGGAATCATTTTAATTCAATCCTTAATTATTTTTGAGAAATTAAAAAACATAAATTAAATCAAAGTGAGGAATATCCACTGCATAAGAGGGAACTATNACGGATTATTCCCAAAAAATTATACGTGTTTTGGAAATGTTGAGTGAAATTAGTCTAGAATCGATTAATTTTATGGAAGAAAACCTTTCAAACAGCCGTAGTCCGTAAACTGCACACGTGCCGGGCTGTGATTGGCTCATGTATTTAATGATTCCTACAACGTGAAATTCTTATAAAGTGGAACGTATCTACCGCGTTATAGGGGAGTCGACTGTATATGGATAAATTGATTAGCATGATTTTATAGAGAATATGCCTATGGCTAATATACAATTTTAATCGATTAGTTTTATCATAACTTTACTTTAGCAATTTTCAAACTATCAAATCCGGAAATATAAGCTTGACGTCAATCATTAAAGTTATCCATTATTGAGAATATGAATATTGTATAATTTATTCTATAGTTTTCATCATAGAATATAATATATTAAAATCATTGCATATATGAAAAGATTTCAATGGAATCATTTTAATTCAATCCTTAATTATTTTTGAGAAATTAAAAAACATAAATTAAATCAAAGTGAGGAATATCCACTGCATAAGAGGGAACTATAAAATGAAGTTCTCTAATTTCAAGTTAAAAAATTATAAAATGTTATGCATCTAAATGTTCTTATAAATTTAAATTAACATCGTTTAATTAATTAGTAGCTTTAATTAGTAGTAAAAATTAGTAGCTTTGATTATAATTCTCACTAATCCATGTAGAAATTATACTTTCGCGCTTTAAAAAAATATTATAATTAAACTAAACAGTTCATTCAATAAAATATCATGTTATTAGTATCTAACACGTCAACAATAAATATTTAATATTCGTGATTAGTGTATACATGCTTTAATCACTATTATTGTTTCTGTTTTCTGTTCGTGCTATAGAATTTAAAACGTTGTTTAATGTAGCAAATGAAAACATTAATATTTAAAAAATGACTACTGTAATTTGTGATATAAAATTTGATCTGTAAAAATGTGTACAGAATAAATTATATAATGAATAAACTAATGCAAGTAATTAAATTATAAGAATTTACTATATTAAAATAATAAAAATAAAGTATATATTATGATTAAAGTAGAAGAAAACTTTAAAGTAAATGAATATAAAGAGAAATTACCTTTATATTAAGTTATTACTTTTATACAATTAAATGGAAACATTAATAAGATTATTTTAAAAATTGATACTACACATTAATGAAATATTAAGAATAAAAACACAGGATGACTGAAAAGTACTCAAGTTTAATGTCATGCTGCAACTGAACGACGAGATATACAGATCTTACTCAAAATTTATTTAAATAAGCATTTAAAACAATTAATTACAATGTGTTCAATATATTTGTTCTCTACTTTAACGATTTTTGCATTATAGCAAGTACCATGAAAGAGAATTGAATGGTGATTGCTATAATGCAAAGACCTTTTGAATAAATTCTCTAGATATGAGTCCTCGTGACTTCTTTTCTCATTGATATCTGAAGGACAGCGCATAAAACAAAGTGGACGACTTTAGAAGAGCTCACGTCATTTATTGAATTGAAATCTTCGCAATTATGAAAGTTTCTTCAAAAAGTGATGCCAAACTTTGGAATATGCGCGAGGAAAATCGAAACTTAAGTTGAAGGCATACGTATTAAACCCATTGACATATAAATAGCTTTAAATACTGATTTGAATGATATTTCAATAACATCTGTATACCTAACGTCGTTCAGTCTAAAAATGAATTAAACCTAATTAAGTAGGGTTTGTGCCACCTTGTACGTACTGTACATAAAATTTTAATTTTTAATTGATTTCTTCCTATCTTATCAAAAGATTCTTATTACAAAATGATATAAGAATTTCATATATAAAAGGAGAATTTAACAATTTTTCTCACTCATGCAGAAACCTTATATTATCAAATTGAATCGTTCACTATTCTGAAAAAGAAATTATTAATTACTACATTAGTAATAGTACATTAGTAAGAAAATTACTTATAGGCCTATTCTAAAGGCCTGTATTCAATTTTTAAAAATAAAATAAAATGCACTGAACATTTATTTAATTAAAATTTTGAAATAATTCTTCGATTTTATTCAGTAGAAAAATTATACAGTATTTCTTATAATTAAAAAATATTTTAAAAAACAATAAAATCTCATCAAAATAAAAGCTGAAAGCAAAAATTTATTTATAAAATTTAAAATATTTTATGCTGTTTAGTATAAAGTACTGGCATATAGTTCTACGCTATATTTTTGAGAATTAAGGATAAAAACTAATTAAAATTAAGCTTCGACAAAATATGTATAAGCTTTTATTAGTTTGATATGAAAATTTATGTGTAAATTGATTAAATGAATTTGCCTGTGAGTAAATTAAACATTTTTAATACAAAATTCTATTTTACAGTTCACAGCATAACGGACACATGGGATTATTTCGCTCATCAGTTGAACGAATGTATGAGTGGTCCGGGAACCAATGATCGAACATTAATTCGTATATTAGTATCGAGATCCGAGGTATTTCATTAATGAAAACCTATAATACTTCTCAGGATTGTTCATTAATTTATTTATTTTCTATAAAGATTGATTTAGAAGATATCAAGAGAGTCTTTAGAAAGACATTCGAGAAAGATTTAACTGAAGCTATTGCTGAAGATACAAGTGGTGATTATAGAAAAATACTTTTGAGGATAATCAGAAATTGATAAAAAAAAGTTTCGAATTTTAAAACGAAGTGTAGGAGTATTTATAAAGCATTTCAATATAGAATATAGAGGTGAGTTTATTAGCGATAATGTGGATACTTTCAGTTTTCGATAAGAGAGGGCGACACGCATCCATAAGATCATTCGTTAGTTTGAAATGAATACACAGGAATTTAAATTCATATTTATACAAGTTTATAAAGATAAACATATAAATAATACTATATTATGTTTATACATAACATATTTAAATATAAATAAGGCATATTTATTTACGTTGTTTTTAAAATATGATTTCTTTATTAAAATGTTAGATTTGTTTTTTCCATACTTTGCATTGTTAGAGTTTCTTTGCTATTACAGTTTTAAGTTTCATAAATTAAGTAATTTAAGCTCGCTTTTAAAACCTTTCTGTTCTAAATTGGTAAAATTTCAGTTTTATTCATTACTTTTCATTTTTCCTTTACGATATCAATACACGTTGATTCATATTTATCGTTTTTATTAATGGTATAAAATAGTCTTAATATTGTCATGAAAACAGAAGAATAAAACGTAAAATATTTTAATATATACATCAATATATAAATATACACCAAAAATAAAGGATAAAATATAATTAGAAATAAAGAAATTCATTCATTATATTATTTAAGCATTTTTAAAGGGGAAAAAGTATTTAAGTAAGAAAAAAATAAGAAGAAAGAATACGACAGACATAAAAGAAAAAATATAAGTTGTTGCTTTGAAATTTTTATCTTCAAATATCTTTATACGTGATACTGATTTGCAGACAGAGCTTCAGGCTGTTATTGGAAATAATCGTTGTAAATTGTAGATGTGATGTTTTTTAATCGCAAAATCTCTTTAAAATTTCTGGATTTTTGATATTAAACAAATATAACAGAAAAAACTAAATGCCATAAATCCGAATTATATTGTCACAATGCACGGATGTGACTCAAGATCATTATCGAACAACTAGATTTAAACGTTTCGACACTGAGATAAGACACTGATTGAAATTTGATGTAATGAGCGTATCAAACGATCTCAAGTAATAATAAACATAATAAATAAACCCTTTATTTAATATATTTTATAATAAAAACTTGATTTTGTTAAGATTTTCTTTTTATTAGTCAGTTTTATTATTTTATTCTCGAAATATTTAGATAAGTTGCAAAATCATGAATGATTCATAATTCTAATATTTTATTCTTCTCATTTAATTTTAAATACATTCAAATAAATAAAAATATACTTTAAATAATATCTAAAAACGACATAATAAATGAGAGAAGGAGCTCAAAATTGTTTAATTCCTGTCTAAGATGCAGAAGATTTAACACAACAATAATAATAATCTATATATGTTATTAAAGTTTAAAACTAGAAATATTAGATAAAGCATGTTTATAGAGATTTCCTTTAACTATGCTCAGCTTATGTCTTGGTATTTGTCTAGAATCCTAAATTAACATTTTAAATATAATTTAAATAAATATAATTGTGACCATATTCGAATGATTAATTTAAAATTATTAATTATTTTCTGCATATTAAGGAAAATATTTTTCTCACTTTTCTTCATCTAAAGAAGAAAAAAATTTAAAAGATTATTTATATTTTGTTCAGTTAAATATGATAATTGGCATATTATATTCTTCATTAAAAATTGTGATCGCTCAATCTATAGTAGTGAAATTTTTGACATTTAATTGACATTGATATATCTAACTATTGTTTAGTTATTTTATCAGGAATTGTAAATATAAAAAATAAAACTTTATCTTGAATCCGGATTAAATTTATTGAGAATAAATTCTTGTTTAATCAAATAGCAAAAATTATATATATTGATATACATGTATTTTAAATGTGAAATATATACAATATATATTCCATTTAATTCTAACTTTTAGTGATTAAAATATATTTAAAAGTGGAGAAACATCTGACATATAGGATATGTGTTGTTCGTTAATTATATTATTATATTAAACAAGAAATAATATTTAAACATAATAATGTAAACATATATTTGTAATAAATTAAAAATATCATATTCTTCTGTTAATGTTTATTTAACAATTAATATTATTTATCTGTTAATTCTATACTGATTAATTATTTTTACTTAATCATATAAGAGTCGAAAAGTTTCAAATTTTCGGGCTGGATTTTATGATTTTTAAGACTTCTTTAAAAATTTATTCATTTTAGCGTTTCAAGATGAGTGTTGTATGCATCAATTTCTATCAAATTTATTAAAAATGAGTATATTTTTTAAGACATTTGTATCTTTCGAAAGAATCAGTCACCTAGTTAGGAACTTGATGAAGCAAAATGGTAATATTCGATCATCGCTATTCTTTTTATTTTATTATAAATAAAATCATACAACACCGTAGACCTATTTGAATGTTTATCTTAATCCATTTTTTTTTTCTATTTCTAATATCTTACTCATTTAAATGTATGGACAATAGTCTAACTAGAACCGATATTACTGGAAATCCGAATAAACACGCACTTACATTCACCCCTATATCGCTGTGAATGCAGTCACTAGGGTTATAGATGAAGAATAAACTCTTATATATATATGCGTATATGCATTTGTCAATTTCAATTCCCAGTACTTATTTAAATTTTTCTTCATTGTTTTATTTACAAAAATAAGGAGAATCCAAGGAGCCATAGTTTATTTTTGTAAAGTACTGTTGACTGTCACTCTAACTCTACTCATATAGGCAGTAGAAAAGAAATCTTAATTACAATATTATCTTGAAAAATATATATTCTTTGCTGATTAAGGTTGATTTTAAATCTACTATTAAATAACAAATTATTTATTTTAGATAATTTTTAAATGAATTTGCATCATTCATTGCTTGTATTAATTTCTAAAAGTAAAATAATTTAATTATAAAAATGGATTATAATTGTATACAATTATTTTAACAAATTAAATATCCAGATCTTATCTGAAAATTCCATTACCAAAATAAAACATAAATGAATTCAGTGATCTTATGGGGCTACATTTCATGATAAGCTCATACAGAACTGAAAATTTTTAGTGACTATAGAATATATTTTTCATTCGGATATTAACTCATTTTATAAAACATACCAGACCTGCAGAAATGCAGAAATGGTTTCTCATATTCCAGGAAAAAAAAATTAGTAAAAATTATTCCAGGCTTGTAACTATTAAACTTTTAAAATTTTATACAAAATATTATATATATTTAAACTTAAATGATTTTACTTATAATTTTTTTCAGATGATATTTTCCTGTAGACGCAAACTGTGTATTTTATATGTAGTCTTCGGTATTTTCGACGAAATAAAAAACAGCAATAAAATCATTATTGTCGTGTAGCAATAAATATTAACGTAATATTTAGAATGTTTCCTTCGTTGACAAGTAGAATATAACATAAAATATTTTTAAAATGTTTAAAAAAAAAATAGGACAGAAATAAGCAAAACTTATGAATTAAAATAGACTCGCAGTATTTGTATAATATATGTCTCATTATATTCGGGTGACAGATGTGTTAAAAGAGATAATTATAGTTGTATCGTAATAAAAATAAAATTGGTATTAGAACAAAGGTTTTCTTTTCGTTGTAAATTGTGTTTCGTTAATTAAAATTCTTTCGAATATAAAAAGAAAACAAAGAAAATCGTCCAGACTAATGGCACACATAACAGCATATGCATGTGCTTCGTGTGGAATAAAAACAGCAAAGTGTTACTAGTTCGATCGAACCAGTTAACTAAGAATAGATTTAGCGTAATATTAATGAACTTGGACATTTTCCGCTAAAGTTTATTGGAATTCGTTCCTTCATCCATCAAAGTTTCCCATTAATAAACGATAGAAGGAATTGTTATTAAAGCTTTCTTAATTATATGCTGTATGTTGCACTGTGTTTAATTAAAAATATTTGTTGTAATTTATCCTGTTATTTAAAAAAGGAAAAAAAACTTTAAAAATTCGTAAATTAAAACATGAAATATATAATTAAAAGTCGTTTCATATAAAAATTAATTCGATCTTTTGTTTAAATAACAAAATAGAAAAATTTTATTTTTCTAAATGATAATACTCGAAAGCTAAGGATGAATCAAATGAACTATTTTTGTTGATAATTAGAATATTAATCTTCAGTAATTCATTGCATGAATGTCTTTAAACAATTAGAAGTGAACAATAATTTGAAAAATAAATCTTTGTCTTCAATAAAAGTATTTATTTTTACTTAAATTCCTGTTTTGATAATTGATTTTTGCAGCATTTTCTATGAAAAAAGTATATAAATTAGTATAGGAAGTACAATGAAAAATACTTTTAAAATTAAACATTAATATTCATTCATTTTTATGCGTTATGGGTTCATTGTATTTCAATAAATTACAGTAAATTTATTTATTTATTCAAAGTTTTTCTTAAAAATTACCCCCTTTATACCAAATATTATTATGTAAATTTAGCTAATAATATTACATATTTTAAAATAAAGTTACATATTAATTTTTGCAAGAACAATAATTAAGTTATTATCAGAATAAAGAGCATTTTAAATTACAGGACAAAAACTAGCAAACAACATTTTTAGGCTTATATTTATATTCTTAAATGTTGAAATTTTTAAACTATTAACAAGTATAAAAACTATTTTTAAAAAAAATGGATTTCAAAAAGCACTTAAAATTCATAATTTAAAATACCAGAATTTTATGATTTCAATGATAAATGGGGAAGAACAAAACTCAATTAACAATTTAACAAAAAGATTACCTTAATTCTATTAGTTCAATGGAATTAACCATTATCAGTAAGGTGAATAAGGCCATAGAATATAAAGAAGATTAAGTAAATTATTTAATTATTTATTAAATTTTCGTTATTATTTTCCATGAATAAACTAGCTCGAAATCGTTAATTTGGACTTAAAAAAAATCACCTGTAATCCAGCTTTAATGATAAAATTACATGATTGACATAACCTGAATAACATTTATTAAGATCAAATCTCTTCGTATAAATAAAATGTAAAGCATTTAATTTTTGTAAATTATATAATTTTTCTAATATTAATTCGAAGTTAAAAAATAGCCATTTATATTAAGACACAATAAAAAAAACTGAATGCTTGACCAAGAACCAATGGACACCGGAAGAAGGAAGAATGATTTTTATCAATCATCTTGAATTATATCGATGAGAAAAATATTTGCTATTGACAGAGACTCTAATGGAAAAAAATATTGTACTGAGAAATATGCCAAACGAGAACGAACTGGGAGCGGGGTCAGACGATTGACGAACTTTGCAGGCCTACAGACCCACTCTGTACGTGGAAAATTCATACGTGCGGAAACTAAAGTTCTAGGTCGATGACTGCGAAATGTAATCAGCCAGGTAGAAAAGATATAGAAGCACTTTTCTGCTTCCTCCGTAGAGAATCGATTCTTCATTAACATGCATGAGCACATTATCAACAGAAATAATGTAATTTCAAAGCTCACGTATGGATGGGACGTAACATCTGCCATATATCGATATGTTATGGATTTATTGCTTTTTTCTCCAATTCTAAGCCCAATAAGAAGATAAATAGGATCAACGAGATTCACACGAGCGAGAAAGGAAATGACGACGCCAGCCAGGCGAGAACTCGAGAAAACAGACACGAACCAATCACGACAAGGTCATTGCAGGACCTTGCTTTATACTTCGGAACTCGGAGGACCACTTTGCTGGATCGCTGGTCCATGCAAATTGGCGCGAATATGTCAGTAGCGAGTCCCATTTCGGGTTATTGACTGAAAAGTTCAACCAAAGTGAACTCCTTCACTGAAATACGAAGAATATTCAGCATTGTAATTCTATTTCGGTCTATACCGAAATTGAAAATCGGAGAAATGTGATAAAATTGCCAAAATTTTTGCGGTTTCTAAGAAATGCCACCATTAGCGTAGTTTCTACAACGGGGATTTCTGTTATCAGTTGGGTTTTCTGTGCAATTTTTGATCAGAGCAAATTGAAAAGTTTCTATTTTGTGTTAATCGTGTACGGGGTCAAAGTCATTCGGTCGAAGGTCAAGGTCGTTAATTGTTCTGCCCCGATGAGTTCGTTTGTAGAGGAAAGCGATCCGCTTTAACGCACGCGAGAACTGTTTGCATCAGTTATTTCCAAGTTAGGAATGGCAAATGGCAGTATGCAAATCATAGGAAATGCAAATGAGGCTGTTTACCTTCGCTTTTCATTGTCAGAATAAAAAATATTTTTTCTATAGTTAACTAAATTTTTCTTACATCATTAAAGAAAATTATATGTTTTAAACTTTGACAATAGATGTTTTTAATAAATAGCCAGATAACAAATGTCTGCGGATTAGCGTACAATTTTCTGGATTAACCGAAATTAAAGAAAAAAACGCTTGATGATGATTTCATTAAGTATCAAAATGACGCATTTCTCTTAAAGTTTACTCCTAACCCAGACACAAACCCAACAGGAAGTGGAAAATTATGCGGAGTTTCATTTATTTACAATTTAAATGTAAAATTTACTACTCATGTTAATGTAGATTATTAACGAAAATCGTCTACTTTAAGTTAGAATGCAAGAAATTGTATTTTAAAATAATATTTAAATCTTTAAATCTTGTGAATATATTCTATATATTTGATATATCTACCGAACACATTCGTTTAGTTATAAAGATTTATTAATTTTGCATAATTAAATTGATAAAAGTAAAATTTATTTTGTAGAATATAATTAAGAAAGAAAAATTAAATTATTATTGATAGTTTCAAAATTAAAAATTCGATTTTTTTATTTATGAAGAGTTTAGAAGCAACTTTACAAATGTTATTACAGAAAGCTTATACAAAGTTAAGTCTATAGAATTGATTAGTTCATTTAGATTATTTTAATAATTAGGCATTTTTCCAGAATTAAACAGCAAATTTATCAGTAAATTTGCAGTAAATTCGCTTGCAGATAAATGTATTTTAATTATTAGAATATTATCGCTTAATATATTAAATATGCTCTAAAAGAGAAACGAAGATATATTTGAAGAATTGACTAGGCTATATAAAAAATAAATAAATCGACTTAAAATTCTTCTCAAATTTCTATGTCATATTAATTTCTCCAGTTATTTTGATGGAGTTTATTATGCAGTCAAAACTCAGAACAACGACCACTGACGGAAACATAAAAAGGATCGTTGTTTGGAGGTTATTTTGTATGCATTTCAAAAAGAAACGTTCCTGAAAATATGGTCGTTATAGGAAGGTGATCGTTGTTTAAAGGTGTTTTGTATGCATTTCCGTTCAATGTTCCTGAAAATATGGTCGTCATTTAGAAGTGGCCGTTGTTGAAGGTTTGACTATATATAGTTACTATATAACTATATATTTTACTATATTAATATAAGTTACTATATATAGTGACTATATAAGTTATATAGGCCTATATAACTTTCCATGTTATGCCAGACTCACATTTAAACTAAATAAAATCGTTAAATTCATTAAAAAAAAAAAGGCAAACTATTGCAAAATACTATTGACAACATTTTTAAAAAATAGAGGTATTTTTCACTATTACTAATAAAATTATATTAAACATATATTATTTAAATATTATTTTATACGATCCTATAAAAACTGAATGTGTTCCATATATACACACTAATAGCCCAATTTACGTAGAATTTATTTGAAATAGATTTTTTAAAATTGCATGTAAAATATATAATTTAATGTATAACAGAGCAAAGCGTATATATTTTATAGCAATAGGCCTAAGATTTATATGTATATAAATAGAAAAGAATCGGAAATTATAAAGAAGAAGAATTTCAAGATAAATAAAATGATATCGACATAAATTATATGGTCGAAATAATTTTTCAACTAACTGTTATCATCTCTATTTCGATAAATTATTTTTAATGAGGTTTTAAAAAATACGAAAGTTTTTAGGGAATTGTAGATAAATGCGATTAAGAATTTCAATCGGAAGCTAATTAAGCGTTTCGAAAGAGACACGTGAACAAACCAGCCATGATCTATTGATCCCAAAGGCAATCAGCATTTATCCAACCGAAAATCATTTTTTGAAGTCTTGTCATTTTACGACATGTTAAGTGGAATTTTTTTAAGTGGACTTGGTTTCTTTGCTCAGTATTGATTGGACCATTAGATCGGATGAATAATTCTTGACGTCATTTCCTTTGCCTTATTTAGTACTTAAATTATCCGGGAGAGGGCAGCACGGTACCTTTCTTACTTAAAAATTAGTCTGATTATCCAGAAATCGAAAAAAA